AAGGATATTATGTGTAGAAGGTTTTCTGAGCTCACTTCGGGTGATTACCACAGTCTGCAGGTAATGTTGTTGTCATTGGTATCATTGTTGTTGTTGTTGTTGTTGCTAAAAAAGGACCCAAGGTATAAAAATAAATAAACATTAGTGCTTAGTGGATAGTTAACAGACACAAATATGAACATGCAAAAACCTCTAGGAAGTGCGGGGTAAACTTATTACATTATCGTTTCGAAATTCAAAACATGAGGAAGAAATTCAGCCAGACCATGAACGTTATTCCTTTGGTTTGTTTGTTTATAAATGCTTGCAGTATATAGTTCAGGTGATAATGAGATACTTACTACTTTCGTCGCAGAGATTGCACGTCTTCCTGCAGTTTTTCTGAAAGCATTGGCGTAAAATCACGAATTGAACCTCATTACGGCCAAATTCTTTAAAAATCTACTATTGCTATTTGCAGATTCCTCTATATGAGGCATATTCCTCACCACTCTAATATGAAATGAGCTTAGATATCCAAGTAATCTTACCTTTACGAAATCTTGGAGATTGATGAGATAGCACATCTCTCTGAGGCATCCTTTTGCCTCATCCTTACAGTCACCAGAGCCTAAAGGACGTGATGTGAAGCATATTTTCTTGTACTCGTGATATGTTGACGGCTGGTGATAAAATCACTGTTATGCATTTCAAATCTCAAACAAAAATGAGAGCAATTCATCCTCCTTAGTTGAGGTTACCGCTCTAACCCCATTTGCTCATCCTTTCCATGAAGAGCATATCCTCTTCGAAAATGTTCTAATAATCTCTGAGTTCCTCTATAGACTATTTACCTTCTAAACAAAGACCGCACGTTTTAGGGCAGTCTTTTGCAAGCAGAGGTTTCCAAAGTGGATCCTTGCACATCTCACCTGTTACGCGCGAGCATTCGAGACGAGGGTCTAAATAAAGAAACACATGCTGTTTTACTTGGGGGTAAAAATGCGCATTATGGGAATCACACTTACTAGGACTATTTGGGCAGTCGTACTCTGGAGTTCGGCAGCAATAGCCACATGTCTTAGGACATACACTAATAGCGAATTTTTTTATTTGTTCGTCCTCGTTTTTAGCAGCATTCTGTTGCAAACATAAAGTTAAAATCAACGAGACCAAATGAGATATGTATATGACGGATAATTCTTTAAAAATTTTATAACTATGCGCAAAACGTGTTCGATCTAATCTAATCCTTACGTTTCATAGCTGTAATAAAAGTTTGTAGCAGATAAAGTATGGTTTGATATTCTTGCTAAAAAAAGCTAGTAATTGAAGTCAATGAATAAAAATACGCTTCGCACATAATGCTGATATCATTGAAGAAGGGCTTGCTTGTAATATTTGAAATTAGAGGCTCTGATTTGAATGTAATTGCTTTTGTTTCTTGCTGATATTTTTGTATTGAGATAACAACTTCTTTGATGGGCAATGAATTATGAATAAAGAAACAGTTACTTGCTCAAAGAAGTGCAGACGTAAGTTCTGCACAAAGAAAGAATTGTTCATCTTCAGCTTACTATCCATCTAGTGCCAACTTATTGAAAGTTAGAAGAATAGAGTTCTTTCTTCAATTTGCCAACAAAAATGGATTCCACTCCAAATGAGAATTTTTGTATATAAACACCTAGATGTTTTGTCAACTTACTGAATATATTCGCTCCTCATCAAACTATCAATGGTATTGATGCTGAAGATAGAAAAAGTAATTTCTAACCTTAAAGCACTTCTCCTCTCGATCCGTATCCTTACCAACTTCCGCCTTTGCTTTTCCAAAAATGTTTTCACAATCTGCCGCAGGGAGTTTGTCTTCGCACATAACAGCCGTTGCATCATACTGCAAAACTTACAGTGCCATCCTTCCGACGATTTTAAAGAGATATTTTATTTGAAATCAAGTTCGAATGTACATTTGAGACTTAAGAAACACAAACCTTTCCATCAGCTCCGGTACAATTTTTATCAGTAACAGCAGCGAAGGTATTACCAGAAAGGGCTACAAGTAGCAGTAGAGATATCATTTTTGGATAGTGGGAGTTTAGTGAAATTCAAGCGTGTTGAGAATTTGTGCTCTTATATGCACATCGGTATGACAATTTTTTTGACATCTCAGCTGTACACTCGCACAATGAAACACTAACATCATTGTAAAAAAAATTGTAGGCTCACACAATGAAAAATCATTTTTGTTTGTAAGGATTGGAGATAAAGGCCAGTTGTACTCTTTACAGGCAATAAACTAATCGAAAGTCAAAGATAAACGTCAAAAATTTAGATTAAACAAATGAAATATTTCTGGGCTGGAGCTTTGGCTACAAACAAAAATGCTTCAGTACTTTGCGCTCAGATATGCGTTTGTTTTTGCATTAAACACAGAATTTTTTGGATAAATTAGCAGAAAGGCTAAATTTTCTGCTGTCGTCTATTACTTTCGTATTCAAACCATCTTTGATCTAGGACGAAGAATCTGCGATAATTTTGGGAGGTGACTAGTGCTTTGAAGTATATGAACATAAACTTTCAGAGCCCTTTAAAGGATTTCGGTGCTCATAAACGTCAATTTAAAACTCGCAGACCTCGGCGGCAGGTCTCCGGAAAGCAAGCTGGGATTCGTTTTTGTGATGGTCATGTGTGCGGCCTAAGTTTCTTCTCATATCTAACACATATGTCCGTTCAGAAACATGCTCCAGTACGTGGAACCAATGTTTGTTTCAGTGCAGGCGTTTGCGCGGGAAATTTAAACGTGTTTTGCAATATTTATATGAACGGGTTTTTCTAGGCGAATAGACAATGAATACCCACCTGGCGCAAAGATGCGGAACAACGAGAAGAAGAAGTGTTTGAAGAATCTTTGAAAAACCACGAGAATTAAAAAATCGCTGTGCCTTTTTGGAAGACCTCAAGTCTCCAATTAGTAAACACTTTTCCTCATAATTTTGCTTTCCCTATATCACACACTTTTTCTACACCTCTTGATCCAACTTATAGCACCATAGCCAGATTAAAACACCTCCTTTCTTCCTTATTAGGGCCTGAAATTTTTTGAGTTGATGAAGAAAATGCGCTCAGTACTGCAGTACTTGTCCTGCTTGCGCGCTTTTGCACAGGTTTCAGTTGAGGGTTCGTAATTTCCTATAGATTTCCAAGCAAGTGTTCGTTCTTGCAAGATTCAATCGGATTTGCTACAAAGTGCTTTATTTTCGCTGTTCGAGGATATTACCTTTTACTCTAAGGTGCATCATAGGT